TTTTTTTTTTTTTTTTTTTTTCTGGAACCGGGGTTGAACTCAGGCCCTTGTGCTTACCAGGCAAGCGCTTGTTTTACTGAGCTATCTTCTCGGCCCCAACACTTTTATTTTGAGTGCTCTGTCTCAGATCTTTTTACTTTGTCCCCTTGGTTAATGTCTTTATCTTGGTGCTGGCCATGACCAAGTGCTCTGCCACTGAGCCACAGCCTAAATGCTTTTTTTTTTGGCAGAACCAGGGATTGAACTCAGGCCTTGGCGCTTTCCAGGCAAGCGCTTATTCTACTGAGCCATCTTCCCAGCCCCTCTAAATTTTATTTGTAATTGTGTTGCAAGTTTTTTGAGATAGGGTCTAGTTCTATAATTCAGGCAGGCCTTGAACTACATAGCCCAGGCTGGCCTTGAACTCATGGTGATCCTCCTGTCTCAGCCTCTTGACTGCTCGCATGGTAGGTGTGCACCGCCATGCCTGGGATGATTTTTAACTTTTATGGTGAATTATATTTTAATATTTATGTATGTCATGTGGTTCGATCTGACCTTGAACTCAGGACAATCCCACCTTAGCTTTTTTTTTTGGCGGAGGTGGGGGTTGAACTCAGGCCCTTGCACTTGCCAGGTGCAAGTGCTTATCCTACGGAGCCATCTCCCGGGCCCCTGTGCCTCAGCCTGTTGAGCGCGGAGATTATAGGCGTGTGCCACTGTCTGGCCTTCTGGTGCTGGAGATGGAACCTAGGGCCTGCCCTGGGTGGGGTATATGCTATACCACTGAGCTGTACCCTTGGCCCCATTTTATTTACTTTTTGGTACTGGGGACTGAACTCAGAACCTTGTGCTTGCCCAGTAAGCACTTAGGGCACTGAGCTGTCTCCCTGGCCCATTTTAATTTAAATCTTATTTTTTTGAGAAGTGTGTTTTGGGTTAAGTACATTAGCATGCATGGAGGCTGAGGGCAGGAGGAGCCCATGAGCCCCACCCCACCCCCAGCAGGACCCTGGGGACTCTGGCTGTACCCCGGTTGTGCTGCTGTAAGAGTGGCTCATGGTAGGGTCGGGGCCCCTGGGAACCCTGAGTGATGTTCCGGCAGCCCTGACAGCCCACAGCCCGGCCGCGGTGGCCCTTGACGACTTGCTAAGGCAGCAGCTACACCTGACGCAGCGGTTCATCCAGGCCAGCCGCCACCTGCACACATCACTGCTACGCTCACTGGACGGGGACGCCTTCCACTACCACAGCCTGGAGGAGGCCAAGGAGGTGAGTTGCGGTCACGTGGGTGCCAAGGGACTCTGTGTGAGGTCTGGGACGTTGCCCTCAGTGCCACCCGCCCCTCAGGCTCTGCTCTCCCTCCAGAAGTTGAGCTTATGTTGGATGAGTCTTGGCACAGTATAGTGAACCCCTGGCCCTCCAATCCCAGTGTCCTCCGTGACCTCAGCTGGGGATGGCCTCAGATGTGGAAGTGACCACAGGAATCCCTTGGACCCGAAGCCCTACTCTGTTTCCCATTTGCTATGAAAGCATTCCAGTGTGTATTTTTGAAAATGCCTACTTTTTGGTTTTTTGAGGCAGGGTTTTGCTGTATATCCTAGGCAGGTCTTAAACTCGCTACGTAGCTGAGGCTGGCCTCAGCCTCCCCAGAGCCGGTGGAAAAATGACTTTATCCAAGTGTGGTGGCCACGCCTGTCATCCTGACACTCTGGGAGGCTGGGGCAGGATGGCAAGTTAGACCCTGTTAAGAAAGTAGGAGTCAGGGCTGTCGCTTACTGCCAAGGCCCAAGCTCAATGTCCACTGTGTGTGGGGGCGGGGAGCAGAAGTCATAATGTCACTCTCCCAGGCTTCGTGTTACCCCACTGAAACTTCTCATGTTTTCCTGGTGGGGATGGAACCGTGGCTTTGCACGCCGGGCCTTTCTGTGCTGGGACAGGCTCTCATGGGGCTGGAACCTGGGATCCTGCCTTGGCCTCCTGGGCACCTACAAGCACAGGTGCATACCACACACCTGGCAGGTCACCAACTCTGGTGCCGGGCCCCTGGCCAGGAGCACATGCCCTGCCTCCTCAGCTTACCCACTGCCAATGATGACCGTGACATTGGCCACTGTGTCCTGGGCTTGCCTGGCTGGGGAGTCACCTTGGCTGGTTACTGGGGGACGCAGTCTGCCTGTGTTCTCTGCTGCCTGTTCCTTCTGCTTGGCCCTATATGCTGGGCCCCTGGGCCCCTCTCTGAGCCCTGTCTCTGCCAGATCTCAGAATCCTGGGACAGACCTGTCACCACAGCCCTGGGAGGCCATGGAGGCCCCAGCGTTGATGATGTCCCATGCCCTGTAGTATATCAAGCGCCACAAGCCTGGCCACTGACCGTGGAGGATGCTGCGCTGGAGGCGGAGGCATGAATGCCAGGCTACCCTGGGAACACAAGGCCCTTTCCAGGTGACAGTTGAGCCTCTCCGGTCGTCCTGAGCCACAAGCGACTCTCCCAGGCCATCACTGTGTGGCTGCATGAGGAGACAGCGTAGCCTGCAGTTCTGGTGACGGGCAACGCAGCAAGAAGAGGCCTTGGTGTGGCTCTGCCATGGCAGCGCTGGGGCCAGGCCACACCTCCTGGGCTGGCAGGGCACAGCAGAGCCCCAGGGAGGTTGGCCAGGCCATACATCAGAAGCCAGTCTTTAGAAAAGGGCTTTATTGGAAAGCAAAACAGTAAAATCCACTGGAAAGTGAATAGCACGTGTGTGCGTCCCAGTCAGACACGCTGGAAAATCACAGCTACAGGAAACTACAACGAACCAAACACTGCCCACAGGTGGGGTGCTGCTCCTGGCAGGAGAGTGCTTACAGGGAGGGCTGTGCAGCGGGGTCTCCGCCTGCGTCCTGCATCCTCTCCTCTCCCGGGACGGGGCAGGTGTGGGGAGGTCAGTGACATAGACAACTAAAGTAACAGAGGACCTGTGGGTGGCACTGTGGGACCCAGGGATGTCACCTGGCCTCAGCCCTGGTTCGAGTGCGGCCGCCCTGGCTCCTGTCCCGTTGGCTGGCCAACACAACCGCGCCATGGGTCTCCGCATCTAGTCCTCCTTCTCCTCCTTGCGTGCTCCAAATGTGGAGACTGCGGGTGACAGATGGGCACTGGGGTGGGTGGGGGGTGGGGTGCAGAGAGCAGGGCAGGGCACACTGGGGTGGGGTGGTCCGCGCTACTCACACTCATCGCGGGCCTTCATGCGCGCGATAAATGAGTAGCTCTTGTTGCGCCGGTAGTTCTCGTAGGGGTCGTCCAGCGCCACACCCACGCCCTTGTACTGGTCCCACTTGTCACGCACATCCCCACCCTTGATGGGGTCCTGGATGCCCTGCTCCTTGGCACCCAGGCCGCCAGAGCCACTCCAGCCTGGGGGTGGTGGGGACAGACAACAGGGAGGTGAGCGGCTGCAAGCTCCGGCTGTCCCTCCCCTGCCCTCTCCGCCCCTCCCCCGCCCCCCCTGCCCTCTCCGCCCCGCCCCACCACTCACCCATCTTCACCAGCATCTGGTGCCCCTTGTTCTCCTCCCCCAGCCGCGAGTCAGGGACGGCAGGTGCTGAATTTGAGCCTAGGCCCGCTGCGGAGCTAGATAGAGGACCAGCAGTTTAGGAAGAACAGCACCTCAACCCAGCCAGTGGGGTCCCTCAGGGTGCCTGGTGTCACGGCGCCAAGGACAGGGCTGTGCCCCAGGGTGGGACGTGGAAACTCAGGACACCTGCGGCCCGGGGAAGACCGGGCAGAGAGGCACTCACGGCGGCGTGGGGCTCCGGGACCGCGAGCGGTGTCTCCTTCCTGGAGAGTAGGACTTGGATCTGGACCGAGACCGCGACCGCGACCGGCTCCGTGATGAGCGCGACCTGCTGCGGCTCCTGCGGGGACGGCCATGGGTGGGCACAGGGCCAGGTGCTGCCGGGGTGGGACAGGCGCGGGGTACGCACGCTGCTGCCTACCTGGACCGGGAGCGCGAGTAGGAGCGTGAACAGGAGCGCGAGCGGGAGCGCGAGTAGGACCCCGAGGACTTGGAGGACCTCGAGTTGGAGCGCGATGAGGAGCGGCCCCGGCTCTTGGATCTACTCCGGGACCTGGAGGGCCCACTGCGAGGGGGACACAGACCGTGAGCCCTGTGCCCGCAGCGCCCCGCCGCCCCGCGCCCCAGGCCGGCCCGCACCTGTTCCTTTTCTCCTGGCCCTTCCGCCGCCGCGCGCGCATCTTGGCTCTGAAGAACTCGTAGAGGCCATTCTGCTCCCAGCCCTCGCTGCGGGACACAGCGCAGGTGACACGGCGCAGGTGACGCGCTGGCCAAGGCTGCGCCATCGCCCTCCCCAGCCCACACTGTGTCACCACAGGACCCAGAGACCGGGAGTGCCCCGCCGCCCCACCTGTTGCGGGGCCTGTCATGTGACGGTGGGCTGTAGAAGGCCTCCACCGCGGCCAGGAGCCGCTCGCTGGGCGGCATGGGGGGTGGGAGGCGGATGTCCTTGGGGTCCAGCGGCTTGTACTCGTGGTCTTCCAGCTGCGGGAGCCCACTGTCAGTTCACCGGGCCCTGCGCGGGGGACGCCTGGCTCCACCACTTGCGCCCCCTTGCCCTGGCCGCCCCCGCCAGCCATGCTGCGTCCCCACAGGTCCTGCTCCAGGGCCTCAAGACACTGGCAGGCCGGGGGCTTGAAGGGGGGCCCACGCACGCCTCACCTTTACAAGTGGGGCCATCAGCCCGGCAGGGAGGTCGAAATAGGGCACGTTGGGCACCAGGCTGGGGTCGTCGTGGTTGATGTGGGGTGGGCCCTGGCGCCGCATGTGGGGAGGCTGCCCGTTGAAGCCGTGGGGGGGTGGGCCAAAGTCTGGGTGCTGGGGCCCCGCCCAGGGCGGGTGCTCGTTGATCCCAGGGTGAGGCATGCGATGGCCGGGGTGGTGGTGCGGGGGACCCATCTCTGCCAGAGAGACAGTTTTGGTGAACCCGCAGGTAGGCTCAACAGCTGGAACCCATGGCCTCACGTGGGCCCCTGCTGTCACCAGCCTTGCACTTGTAAGGTGCAAGGAGTCCCCTGAGCGGGGAGTCTCGCAGCTAAGTAGCCTAGGCAGCCTCCAGCTCAAGGGCTTCCTGCCTCAGCCTTCGTATGAGCCCAGCAAGATCCCTCCTGCCCCTTAACTCCCTCCACCTCCAGGGCCTGGCACAGCACCCACCGGCGGGGAAGTCGCCCTGTGGGTAGTCGAAGCGGTGCGGGTAGGGCGGCCGCTCGAAGGGATGCCGCGGGGGGAAGTCGTCCTGCAGGAAGCGCGGTGGGAAGCGGTTGAAATTGTGTGGGTGCGGCGGCTGGCTGAACTGCGGGTGCTGCTGGTGGGGCGGGAAGGGCCCGCGGAAGTGCGGCGGCCGCTGCATGCGGAAGGGCGGCTCGCGCTGCCCGGCGCCCCAGGGGGGCTGCTCGTGCTGGCCGCTCCAGGGGCCTTCGAACTGGCCGCTCCAGCTGGGGTCCGGCTGGTTGTTCCAAGGCGCGTCACGCTGGCCGTTCCAGCCGGGGTCCCCGCGCTGCTCACCCCACATGCCCTCGTGGCTGCTGTTCCAGGGTGGGCAGTGGGGCGGGCCTCCTTGGTGGTGCGGGTACGGGGGCTGCTCGGGTGGCTGCGGGGCAAGCGAGGCGAGGGTCAGCCTGGCCGGCCCTCAGCGCTGGCCTACTCATACTCCCCCACCCCAAAGCGAACCAAACTCAGCCCTCATGACCTCATCCCAGGGTTCCTGCTCCAGGCTCCGCTGAGACCCAGTTCTGACTGCACCTGCCCTCACCTGGCACCCCACTAGGCCCAGACGTCTCTGCTGCCACCACCAGTTATTCTAACACTGGGAGGAAGTGCAGGGCCCTCATATGCACCCCCAGCTATGCCCCACTTTATGAAGTACCTGCTGTTGGCCCCAGGGAGCAACAGGGTGAGGCTGGTCAAACCAAGGCGGCTTGTTGGGCGGGATCTGGTCATGGGGCCCGGGGCCTCGGGGCCCCGCAGCTGCGGGGTCCTGGACGCCTGCTGCCGTGTCATACTCCGAGGAGCCAGGCATCTGGATGGGCGGTTTGCTGTCATCTGACCCCAGGAAGAGATGGTCAGCCTGGGCAGTAGAGGGGCAACCCCCACACCCTTGGCACCTCAGCTGGCTCCTGCTCCCGCAGGACCTGTGGCCTCTCAACCCTGATGACCATACCTGTCCCTGAACACTTCCCAGCACATGCCAGCCCAGCTACTGATTCCAGTTTGAGAGTTTTCCCTGCCACTGAGATTTAGTAAATTAGTAAATGACTTTTCTAGTGCAGAGCTGACAGCTGGTAGGTAGGGGGGCTGTCACAAATCTGAGACCAGTGTGGGCTACATGGCAAGCTCAAGGCCACCAGGAATGACTACATATTTAAGGCAGTCTCAAAAACTTAAGAGAACCACTATGTTCCATTCCCTCAAGTCATCTTTTTCTTTTTCGTGGTACCAGGGATCAAACTCAGGACCTTGTACTCGCCAGGCAAGCACCTATTCCACTGAGCTATCTATTTCCCTAGCCCAGGTCATCTTTTTCTGAGCAGCACCGGCCTCAAGGTTCGTGCCTCTGCCTGAGGACTGATTTTTCTTTTCCTTTTTGGTACTGGAAATGTAGCTGAGAACGCTGTGCTTTGCCAGGCAGGCACTGTGCTGCTGAGCTCTGTCCTGGCCCTCAAGTGCTGCTTTTTCAAGACAGGGTCTCACTGTGTTGCCCCAAGTGGGCTCAAGCCCCCAGACTACAGGATCGTTCCGCCTCAGCTTCCCAAGTAACTGAGCTATCAGCTGTGGCCCCCAAGTGGCTGTTAACCTGTGCCCACCTTACACAAGGCCCCGCATGTTGAACACACTTCTAGTCCATGGGAGGGCCTGCCTGATGGACCAACACAAGTTCTATTTCCCTACTCCAACATGCAAGCACTGGGAGTGTTTGAGACTTCAGTATTTTCAATTTTGGGGTATTTGCAAAGATTTTACTTAGTATTCCTAATCTGTAAATCCAAAATTAAAGACATTAAGGGTGTGATTCTCTTCAGTGCTGAGAACACTACCCGCTTCAGATTCTGCAGGGGGATACCCGTCCTGTACTTTGCTGGATTTCACTTCAACTCTATTCAGCACTCCCACACCTCTGACACGCGTGTACTGTGGCCCTGAGCCACACATCCGGCCCTAACCGCAGCGTTTGGTTTGTTTTTTCCTAAGACAAGGTCTCACTATGGAGTGCAGGCTGACTTTGTACTCGCCACGTAGCCGCCACTGGCCTTTCACTTGTGCTGATCCCACTGCCTCAGCCTCCCGCACAGGGATGGCAGGTGTGCACCCTGACTTCAGGGCCTGACTGCGGTTGTCTTTGTGTCCTATCTGTCTACCTCGAGTTATCTCAGCCCTAAACTCAAATGGGCAGCTGTTTCTGCTCCATATTCTGGACATCACACAGGGACAAAATGTGTCCCTAGCTAATCCCCTGGCCTGAGCAAGTGAAGAGGTGGAACGTGGCAGGTGGGTGCAGTGGAAGCAGGAAGGAGGGCAGGGGTGGGCAGCTGCCCCTTAGGGTGTTTGCTGTCCTACCAGGCTGGGTGGTGGGCGGGATGGCCGGGGTGGGCGCAGGGGCCGGGGGTGGTGCAGGAGGCGGTGGCGTAGCCTTGACCTCAGCCTCCAGCTGGGGCAGCTGGACTTGCTGCTGTTGCTGCTGCTGCTGCTGCTGGGCCAGGCTGCTGACAAAGTCCTCGTGCTGTGTCTTCAGTGTCTGGATCTGCTGTTGGAAGGCCAGTTGCACGGGCTGCACCACTGACGAGTACTCGCTGATCAAGGTAGCCTGGCGACAAAGGAGGCTGGGGCTCAGGATGTGTGCCTTGGTATATTGGGCAGATGCCCCTCTGGTACCACCACACCACAGTCTGACAGCCGTGGTGTGTGAAGTCAGGTAGAGCTGCGACCTAGGATCTCCAGGAAACTGAAAGCAGCAGCTGCAGGGGCATGGGACTGCTGCATGGCGCACCAGAACCCAGCTGCAGCTCTGGGCCAGGGGTGTGTGGTCACCCAGCTGTGGGAAGCCCTGGGTTCCTCCCCAGCCTCACGAAACAAAGCCAGAATATCACAGGGTAGCCCCGAGGATAAGCTCCGGGGCTTGGCTGCTGACTTCCAGCACCCTTCTGACACCCCAGGGCCCCGAGTCTCAGCTTGCGAGACGGGCCCATGGTAGGATCCACTTCTGGGGGTCTACAGAGTACAGTAAGATGTCCCACAACACCACCAAAGAAGGGGGCTGAGCGCAGGCGACCCGCTGTACCTTGACGATCCCCCAGCCCTCCATTTTGCTAAGAACGGCCCCACGGCAACATGTGGAGACTGAGGAGCCACTGTCCCGGTCAGCCCCCAGGGGCGCGGTAAGGGAGGGCACTGCCACATCCTGGCCCGGGCCACACTGTGAGGACCCACCTGGTACTGACCAAGGCCCAGGGCAGGGCTCTGCAACTGCTGAATGATGGAGTCATCGAAGTAGCCATTTTTCTCCCAGAGCTGCAGGAGCTGGGTGGGGGGCAGCGGTGGGAGTAGGAAGAGTGGTGTGCGTCAGGTACAGGTGCAGCCTGACCGCCCGCCCGCCTGCCCGCCCCAGTGCGGGCGTGTACCCGGGCGATCTTCTGCTGCTTGTCCTCCTCCACAGCCAGGAAGCTGGTGCAGTAGATGGGCACCACCACCTTCTGCAGCGCGGCCAGCAGCTCCCGCGCCTGCTTGCGCTGGCTGTGAGGGAGAGACCTTCCGCGCATCAGGGCCCTGGGGCGGGACCCGGCCACGCGCCCGTTACCATCGCGGCTCTGGCCACTGCGCCCTCTGCCTCCTCGGGACACAGACCCCCAACCCAGCCCAGATGGTGCCCGGGCTGGAGGACGGAGAGCCAGTGCACCCCAGACTGGGGCCCAGCAGGCATGGAGCGTCCCTCCCCTCAGGGAAAGAAGCTGAGCCGCAGTGCTCCATCACCTGCTAGGCACAAAGCAGAGGCCACCCAGGAGGGCCGGCTGTGCCCAGCCACGCGGGCCACTAAGCAGCACCCCCTGCTGCTGTGCTATCTCCAGGTCACAAGTGGGCCCTGGCCTCCTGGGGCTGGGCAGGACAGCAGTCCAGGGGGCTGTGGGGAAGGGCCGAGGAGGACAAGAGGGAAGTGTCACGTGTACTGGGGTATGTGACCCCATCCATTGGGAAGGGGTGACATGGAATAGGGCAGCGGGACCTAAGCAAGGACAGAGGTGCCAAGGCAGTGAGGCTGCAGCAGCGCCTCCACTCAGTGGCACTACCATGCTGCTATTAGGCTGCCCCCCACACAGCCAGGCTCTCAGGACACAGGGCAGCAGCTGGGGCTGCAATGCACCAGTGTTCCCAGAGCCCCAAATCACCTCCACGCCTGGGCTGCTATATTTTCCTATTCTCCACCCAGTGGCCACACGGAGTTCAACCCCGCCAGACCCAGGAGGGAAGGCTGAATGCTGTGTGGTGCAGGGCTGGCAAGGGGCCTGCAGAGCCTCGGTGGACCAGGGCTGGCCGGGGCCCAGAAGGCCAGCAGTGGAGCACATGGGCCAAGGGGGCAATGGTCGGCAAACAGAGGTGGTGCCCGGGCCAGTGCACTGAGCCCAGCGCTGCCAGGAGACTGCGAGGGCTGATGGGGCAGGAGGCCCGGGAGGCAGCTGCAGCCCAGCTCACCAGTGGTGCAGCACGTCGTTGATGAGGTAGATGAGATGCAGCCGCAGCTCGAAGTGTGCACCGTCCGCTGTGATGCGGTTGCGGAGGTGACCTGCCATCAGCTCACAGTGCGGCGGTGACTTGGCGTTGCTGAACATCCAGTTCTTTCCGGCCTGCAAGGGAGGGTGGTGAGCGGGGCCCACCAGGTGGCTGTGCCCGAGGTACTGGAGGAGCCAGGCCTCACCGAGATGGCGTCCTTGGTGCATGTGTCGATAATGGGCTGCAGCAAACTGTCGAACTCGTTCACATCCAGCTGCGTCTCCTCCAGCAGCTTCTGCATCTGCTGTTCTACAGCGTGGGCCACGGCTGCTGTTACCTGCTCCTGAGGTGAGAGGCCCAAGTTGCCTTGGGCAGCTAGGGCACTGCCTGGGGGTGAGGACAGGGCCCATGTGGGATTAAGACTAGGGACAGGGGCTGGCGAGATGGCTCAGTCGTCTAAAGCACCTACTTGGAACAGGCTTGGGAAAGCACAGGACCGTGGTTCGATCCCCCAGTACCACATGCCAGCCAGCCCTGCCCTTTGGTGGGCTGAGCTGGCCACACACATACACACTAAATAAATAAATGTTTAAAATTAAAAAAAAAAAAAAAGACTAGGGACAGAGGAGAGGGCAGCATGGCCGGGTCTCTGCTGAGCCCCTGGACGACAGCCAAGATCAGCATGCACCCAGAACATGGCAGGAACCTCTGATAGGCAGGGCCTTTGCACCAAGAGCCAGGAACGACAGTGGGGGGGACGTGATGAGCCCTGTTTCCACATGTCTCCAGCCTATACCTGTCGGAGGGCCAGAAGATGCTGCTCCTGCTGTTGCAAATTCCACTGACTCTGCTGGATGAGTTCGTCTACAGATGGGGCGCCCTGGGATGGCGGGACAGGAGCAGTAGGTGCCAGTGGGGGCTGTGGCAGTGGAGGCAGGGCGGCGGGAGGCTCCAGCTCGGGCGCCTGCTGCTTGCAGATGACTGGCAGGGAGAAAGGGCAGGTGAGGACATGGTGGGGCCCAGGATCGCTGCTCTGTTCCAGAGTTGGAGCAGAGCCCCAGGGCCTGGCCCAGCTCCCCGTAGCAGATCCCAGGTTTCCTGTCACAGAGTCTAGGTATCTGTGCCTGGGACTCTCTCAGCCACTCCCACCCCAGCCTCCCAGGCAGGAACCAACCACCTCCTTGCTGTCCTTTCCTGCCTCCTTCCAATGTGAGGTAACAGGATGACACCCCTACTTGTCCCCACAGTCACCATTCCCTCACACCCAGGCTCCATCCCCCATGGCCTATAGGGAGACCCTGCTGCACAGGACCAAGGTTCACATGCGGCCATGGGGCAGGAGGGCGGGTCCCTGGGACATGCTCTGAGCAGCAGGCGCCCTTACAAGGTCTACCAAGAACAGGGGCCAAGGGCACCCATGTGCAGATCCTGCCTCGAGTGCCCCTCTCGGGACAGGGATCCTGGAATCTTATGCTCACTGCCTCAGTTTCCTGCTGGATACCTTCTGCTCCCCAGCAGCACCTACACCTTGTCACTCCACTCCCTTGGCCTGGATGCCTCCTGCAGCCACTTCACTCCCCAATGGGCCACCCAGCCTCCTGTCTGACTCTATGCTGGAACACTGGGCCTGTGTTCTCAGCTGTTCTCTGCCCTCTAACCCTAAAAGAACATCACACCACCACCCTGCCCACCCCTGTCAGTGCCTCTCTCTCTGGGTTTGCTGGGCTGCTAACACGGGTTCATCTCCAGGGCTGGCACATTGACCTGTGTGCTCCAAAGCCAACCTGGGCTCACCCATGCCATCCTGGGAACAGAGCCCTGGCTCAGGTCCTGCTGCTCCTGTGCTGGTCAGTGTCCCAGCACAGCCCCAGACAACAGGCAAAGGGCACCTGATCCAGTTGCTCTCAGAACTCTTATGTAGTGGAAGCTCCCACCTGGCCCGACCACAGGCTCTGCAGAGGGCCCTCTCGGACAGGCCGAGTCAATGAAGCGGCAGCACTGCGGCAGAGCACCCTTGCGCAGGCCTGCAGTCTCAGGAGTGTTTCCTCCTGGCCCTCTCTGCCTGTGACTGAACTCGCAGAGCCTGTGCCCCAGTCCCTGCCTCCCTACCCTGAAGGCTTCCTTCTCGGGTTCAGCTGGTCACTCTACCCTGCTCTTAAGGTCCTGGAGAAGGTGCTCATTCCCTGTGAGGGTCCCTGGGGTTGGGCCCCGCTCCGTGGAGTTTGGCCACGGCTTCCTGTGTGGAGCAAGCAGCTCTGGGCTCAAAGGGGGTTCAGCTAAGGCACCGTGCCACACGGCCTCGCCAATGTCCAGCGAGGCCCAAGACCATGCCAACCATGCACACTGAGGCATCACCTGCCTAGGGGCCCTCCACCTGGCTACACACCCATTCTGCTGCTGCCCTTGTCATAATCTCTCTTGTACCGTAAGGTTGCTGCACTGGCAAAAAAACCCCCCCAAAACCAATCAAGGCTAGTCTGGCCTCAAACAGCAACGACCCAGTGACAATGTTGTCCCCCTCTGGGTACTTAAGACCAAGCTCATGGCCATCACGCTGAGCCACGTCTCCAGGCCTCCTTTGAGACAGAATCTCACTAAGTCACTAGGATACACAGGTGGGCGGGGGCTTGCAATAGTCCTGCCTCCGCCTCCTAGAGACTTGGGCCACCATGCCCAGGAGCTCTCCCCTTTCAATGCCATTCTATACGGGGATTTGCCAAATCCACTTCTGTGAAGAACAGATCTGGCCGCTGGCCTCGCCCTGATGGCAGTCATCACTTGGAGACGGGCTACCCAGGGCTCAGAGACCAGCTGCCCTGGATAACTCAGAGGCGGCAGAAGTTGATAACCACGCGCCAAGTGCCAAAGCCCAGGGAGACGGCTCCTTCCGACCTGGGCATGACAGAGGCACGACCCTGGCTGGGCACCTCCCGCCTGGTGCACAGGGTACGCCGTCCTACTGATCGGCCATCAGACCCAGAAGAGGCCCGCGGGCCCGTGAGACTCACGCTGCTGCTGCTCCAGCGCCAGCTTGCACTTGTAGTAACTGTAGAACTCGCCCCCGAACAGGAAGGAGAACTTCGGGTTGTCCTTCTGCTTCTCCATCGTCATCTTCTCAAACTCGGGCCCGTTGCGAGCCACGAACTGGGCCAGCTTGTCGATGACATTTCGGAGCTCCTGGTCTGCAGGACGGAGCAGGCCGCGCGGGGCGTCAGCGCCGACCGCGCAGCCCCGGGAACCCCGTCCGACCTCAGCGCCCGGGCCCGGGGAGGCCGCCGCTGTATGGATCCCCACAGGGGCCACACGCCCGCCGACAACTCGGCCCCGCGGAGGCCCAGGCTCCGCGGCAGGCCGCGCCCCGCCCCCGCCCAGCCCTGGGGACTCCAGCAGGAGGGCGGGTCGGGCCGAAGGGGAATCCGGGGAGAGAATAACGGTCACTGATCCGGGCTGGCCCTCACCGTCCGGGGGCAGCGGCATCTCCATGGCTCCGGCCGCGGGAAACGACCGCCCGCGCCTCAGGATCGCGCACCAGCGCCGTCTGCGGAAACCGGCCGGAAGTGGCGCGAGGGAACAGTTTACGGCGGGCCTAATGGTCAACTTCCGCCCGCCACTTACGGCCGTCGCTTGGAAACCCCGGAAGTGAGCGCCTGGGCCAGCCGGGTCTGGCGTGTAGAATTGGCGCGCCAGGGGTTGGTGGGAGGGGGAGAGCGCGTGATGCGCCTGCGCGGAGCTGTCTTCGCGCAGGCGCAGAACTGTTCTCTCTGCTCGCCGGAGTCTGGTAAACCAGTGTTCCTGGGCGCCGGGCTGGAGGTTCGTGGTTCCTGGGGATCAAGATTTATGGGCCACCCTGCCCAGGGGTCTATTTCCTTTTTGCAGGCATGTTGAGAAGCCCTTGAGGTGAGGCACGTTGGAGGCCTCGGGTGCCGGGCGGGAGTAGAGAAGGAGGCGGAACCGGGTTTATCTGGTGGGGGTTCCCAGGTTGTCAGCTAGCGCTTCCCGTGGTTGCTAGCTAGCGCTTTTCTCGTGGCTTAGTTTTTTGTTTTTTTTTGTTTTTGTTTTTGTTTTTTTTTTGTGGTATTGGGATTGAATGCAAAAGTCTTCTTAGTGAGTTCCATACCCACCCTGTTTTATGTTTTTATTTTTTTGCGGAACCGGTGATTGAACTCACCTCCTTGCGCTTGCCAGGGAAGCGCTCATCCCATTGAGCCATCTCCCCGGCCCCTGTTTTGTGTTTTTCAGGTAGGATTTCACTTAAGTCGTCCAGGTTGGGATCAGATTTGTAATACTCTTGCCTCAGTCTCCTAGTACTGTGATCAGAAGCATGGCCACCATACCCCTCTTAAACCAGACTATAATTATTTTAGGCTCTGCGGGCCAAGAGGCACAATTGGAGATCTTATCCAGGCATTCATACAACCAAAGACAAATATAACGTTTTTGTTGTTTGAATTTAGCCAGGTCGAATGGCAGTTTGCTGTTGGCTCCCAGTTCTCTGTGAAGCAGAGGCAGGAGGATGCCAGGTTTGAGGCCAACTTGAGCAATTTATTAAGGCCCTGTCTGAGGGTAGAATAAAAGTAGAATAAAACGGGCTGAAGATGGGCTCCATCCCCAGGACTGACATTCAACTTTTGTGGACTCACCGTTTCCTGGGTTTTAAAAAAATAGTAGTCTAAATTATTACGTATTTCTTCACTATATCACGGGATTTTTTGGTAGTGAATAGTAGTATATACATATTTATATCCATAGTATTTATGGTTTTGATGGATTTTTGCCTAAAAAACTTAAAATATATAAAAATTATAAAAAATGTTAATTCCAACATTAAAAGAATATTAAATCAAAATAAAATACAGCGTTTACAGTGTGCATGTCTTTAGTGGATGAATACGTACACTGACAATGAGTTGTGCAAGGTGGTTGGCCCATGTGAAGTTGTGCAGGGCACACCATTGGCTTGTTGATGGAAGACAACTAAGCAGAGCATTGGCTGGCTTCAGCAATGGTAGCTCGGTCTGTACGCTCCCTCACGCGCTCTGCATACTTCAGCGTCTCCCTTTGTTCACTTCACATTGACATTTGATTGTTTGACCTAGGTTTGCTCAGGTGTTGTGTTTTTAAAATTTTCATAAGACACTGAATTTATTTCAAGCCCTACGATGTCACCTAAACGTTCTACATGAGAACAGGCAGCAAACCCGAGCACCATAGGAGGATGTTACCATAAAAGAGAAGGAAGAACTTTTTTTTTTTTTTTTTTTAATTTTAGGGAAGGGTCTACAGGGTATTCAGGGTCTCACTACTAGATCAGACTTGTAGTGATCCCAAGAGCTGGGATTACAGGTGTGTGCCACCACACCCAATCTCAATTGCCATCTCAGCATGCCCTGGGGTGGGGCCTGGATCTCCTTGCAGGCACTTTAATCTACTGAGCTATTTGGTTGGCCCTGAACTGCTTGACATGTTGAAGGAAGAAGCTATATGGCTGTTGACCACCATTACGGGGTCAACGAGTCTACAGTTTTCTATATCAAAAAGGACAAGAAGAAATCAGGTCTGTGGCAACGATGACTTTCAACAAGATGGCACGGGGGTGGTTACTTCCCACAATAACACAATTGTGAAGATGGGGGTCTGCATTAGTCATGTGGATTAATGATTGCCGTAGAAAGGATATCTCGCTGGATATAAACACCATCAGGATAAAAGCCAAACAGCTTTATGATCGTTTAGCAGTAAAAAGGGATGATCGTGACAGACAACAACATTGAAAAACAGGGCCTATGAATGCTTCTCCCACCAGACCAACACCGTTCCATGCTAGCAAGGTCCGGTTTGACAAATTTCAGAAACGTGTTGGACTTGAGAGTGTTTCTCTGCAGAGAGGGGCTGCTCCTGTGGACAAAGCCAGAGCTAAGGAGTATTTGAACAACATGTTCAAAGATATCACTGAGAAAGGGGGCTATAAGCCTGAACAAATTTTCGACATGGACAAGACAGGCTTATTGGAAACAGATGCCATCTCGCACTTTTATTATGAAGGACAAAGCCAAAGCCCCTGGTTTCAAGGCCTGAAAAGGTAGGGTAACTTTGATCCTGTGTAAAATGCTGTAGGCTTTATGATAAAGCCAAGGCTTATTTATAAGTCCAAAAACCCAAGGGCTATAAAAACAGAAGTAAGAATGTGTTGCCTGTGCACTGGATGCACGACCCCAAGGCCTGGGTCACGAAAGTCCCCACAACCAATTGGTTCCACAGTTTTATCTTGGAGGTTAAGTTTTATCTGGCAGAAAAAGGCCTCAATTTCAGCTAGCTTCTGATAATGGACAGTGCTGGAGGCCGTGCTGTTGATCTGGCATATGACGGGGCCCAGGTAGACTTCTTGCCACCAAACACCACATTGCTCTTTCAACTGATGGATCAAAATGTTATTCATGCTTTTAAGGCACTTTACACAAGAAATGCCTTGCAAGCCCACGTTGAAGCTAAGGAGACAGACGACGCCTTCTTGCTAAAGGCGTACTGGTCTGACCACACAATTGCATCATGTCTCCAAAATATCCAAAAGGCCATAAAGGAGATAAAGAGTGAGACTTTGAACCTGCTGGAAAACATTGTGACCAAAAGTGGTCCACGATTACAAGGGCTTCTCTCCTGATGAAATCTATCACTGTGTAGTTGCTAAGGCTGTGAAGCTGGCAAGAATACTGGGAGGGGAGGGTGTCAGTGAATGACTGCTGAAGGCATGAGCTGAGCAGCACGTATGCCCAGCCCATGACAGATAAAGAACTGCAGGACCCAAGTCAGCAAGTGAAGACCAGAATGAGGAACAATATGAACAACGTGTTGAAGAAGAGTTGGGTTGGCCTAACTCTTGATTGTCTGTGGTCACAATGGCCAAAGAACTTCAGTGAGTGAGTGAAGAACAGGACCCCGATATGGTTCGTTTGTTGCAGTTCACAAATGCAATCCAGAGTGCCAGGTCAGCTTACGAAACCATTCTCAGAAGAAGCAGGGGCAGCAATTCCCCATAACTGTGTTTATCACTGGAACGAAGAGATCTGTTACACCTACGCCTGTAGCAGAAGTAGAAGTTACTTTTTTAAAAATGTATTTGGTGCAGGGCCTCACAGTGCAGCTCGGACTCAGCGACCCTCCTCTTTTCAGTCTCCCCAGCACTGGGATCTGCGCCACCATGCCTGGACTTCTTTGCTGGCTCAGCGCGCCCGGGGGCTGGTCCAGGGGTTGACCTGGCGTCCCTGCACTTGCCAAAGCAGGTGCCTAGTCCGCTGAGTTATCTCACCGGCCCTGGAAGTCATGTTCTTGACTGTGACTGTGCAGTACATTCACCTCTTCGTCACCTTCGTTGTCATCAGGACTACACAGCTAATTCACTACCTTCACCATTCAAGTTGTAGTAGTATCTTTACTGTGAGTGCCCATGTAAAGTTTTGCAGTAACATACAGTATGTGTACGTTAAAATTATGTAGGTTTACAAGTTTGGGAAATAGTTAAGGACATCAGAAGTGTTTTTTTAAAAGTATGAGAACAGTTTACAAAGCCTTTAAATATATATATGAATGCTGAAATACAACATTGTTACTTTGCTGCTTTTCACTTACCACGGGGACGTGTGGAGCGTAACCTCCACAGTAAGTGAGGGATCACTGTAATACAGTTTTTAAAATGGAGTCTACGCCTGAGAAGAGCACAGTGCTTGGGGGTAACCTTTTGCTTAACTCATGTAAGGGTCTGTGGGTCTGTGTGATCTGTTCCACCTGGGGAGAAGCGACGACAGGAACGAGGAAAAGATTGAGAAGACCACGAGAGGAGTCTGCCTGGTTGTCAAGCCGGCCCCTTCTTTGCAACACCTGACACAAGGTTGCCTAGTGACTAATAGCAACATTAACCTGTGAGGATGCTTATCTCAGGACAGAGGTAGCTTCTCTGCCTTAGGCAGTGAGGCCTCCTGCCCATACACATGTGACCAGCTCTCTAGCTTCCATGGCTCCGGGCAAGCTCGGGGTCCAAGTTAGTAGCCCTGTCACGAACGTCACCCTTGCTCCAAGAGCAGGAGGCTGGAGAGACAGCCATAACTCAGGAAAAGTGACAGCACAGAGGCATTATGAAAGCAATGGCGAGGGCTGTGTCCTTGAGAGATGGCCTACTGGCAGCGTTGGCAGGCAGGAGCTGGCTCCGGGACTGTCTCACGGGGTCAGGCCTGGCTGTCCTGTTTCTGTGGGGGCTGGTGTTCTGTATTCCCTATGCCAGTGAAAATGCATCAGATCTACCTGGGGTCCATTTTCACTGACGGCCCTCAGAGCTCCACAGACTAGGGAACCACACAGCAAACTGCGTGAACACATCCTGTGGGCTGTAGGTACTGTCACTGACCCATTCTTTTTATTTTTTTTAATAATTTTTTTTTTACATTTATTTTGTGTGTGTGTGTGTGTGTGTGTGTGTGTGTGTGTGTGTGTGTGTGGCCAGCTCAGCCCACCAGGGGGCGGGGCTGGCTGGCATGTGGTGCTGGGGGATTGAACCGCGATCCCCTGTGCTTTGCTAAGCTTGTTCCAAGTAGGTGCTTTAGACCACTGAGCCATCTCGCCAGCCCCAACTGACCCATTCTTGTTTCCTTTGTTTTTTATTTTTCTTCTTTGTGTTGAACATAGAACCTAGAGTCTTCACGCTGAGCTGCTGTCAGCCCTACCCCTTTTACTTTGAGACAGGAGCTCAACAAGTTACCCAGGCTGGACTTGGCCTTGGTTGGGATCCTCCTGGCTCAGCCTCTGAGTGCTGGATTTACAGGTGGGCACGTAGGGCTGTGGACATGGGTAGAGAGAGTGTGGCTTACTTCCTGTGTGGCCCAGCTTGGTCTTGACTGGCCACGGTCCTGCCTCAGCCTCCAAGTGCTAGGACCACAGGCATGCCCTCACCCCTGGCTTTCCATCTCTGAGGCTCCCTGGTACCCTGCCAGGCCCTTCCTGGCCTCAGGTGAGCCTCCTGCTGCAACCTCCAAGCGCATGCTGCAGCCTCCAAGTACATGTTGCGGCCTCCAAGCACGTGCTGCAGCCTCCAGTGAGCCTCCTGCTGCGGCCTCCAAACGCGTGCTGTGGCCTCCAGGCATGTACTGTGGCCTCCAAGTGCAAGCTGCAACACCTGGCCTTGTGGTGGTTACTAGCTTTGGACAAGAAGAGGGTGGGGTGAGGCAGTGTGGCCGAGTTTAAGGCTGCAGAGGATTCTGGAGTCTCATATCACAGTGTGTTAGATTGAAACTTTCTGGGGTCGCTTGGGTTGGAGTGGTTCCATGTTTAAGGCACTCTTAAAAGTGTCACTGAGCCTGGTGATATGCACATGTAATTCTAGCACTCAGGAGGCTGAGGCAGGAGTATCACAAGTTCCAGCCCAGTTTAGGCAACTTGATGAGACCCATCAGTGAAAAATAAAAGCGGCTAGGGCTAGGGCTCAGTGCGAAGACCAGAATGCCCATGGGGAGCCAGCGTGTGGTTCTGGGGTTGCACTGCAGTACCCCTGTCCCCCAGCTGCTATCCAGGGGGTTGCACGCCCACAAGTACTGCTTATATACTTCCAGCAGCACCAGTGACTGTGCCCAGATGGGAAGCAGGTCAGGGCCTCTCCCGCCTGCTGTTTTGGCAGCCATGGGGAGGGACCCCAGGGTGTGGAGAACCGGCAGACATGTGACCCCAGCCAGGTGCTGCGCTGGCCCGGAACATGAATGCTGCTGGGATGATCCTGGGTGTTGCAGGCCACATGTTGTCAATTGAGGCTAGGGTTCCTCTGGCTTATTTTGCTTTGTGAGTCCTGTGGTATGCAGAAACGCCTTTCAATCCCCAGTACCACAAAAACAAACAACAAAGAACCTGAAAGGCTCACAGGGCAAGATGAGATCTGCTGAGGCTGCAGTGGGCCTGCAGAACGATGTGGGAGCAGTGCTGGAAGCTTGGCGTGGGAGCCTCCCCCAACTCACAAGCTAACCCTGCAAGAGCGTCTTGCCCCCTGGCCCCTGCAACCTCAGTGGTGTGCCTCAGTGTCTGCCCCTGTGCTGATGGGGCCAGAGGTGGGACCTGGGGGTGTGATCTGGATGGGAAAGGTCTCAGGGTCCCAGGGGACGAGGCTGGCAGCCATAGACCCGCCCTGAGCAGATGGCCCTGCACGCCCACGTCCCCATAGCACATGTTCTGCCTCACTCTGGGGCTACTGGCCCCAGAACTGTGGACCAAATGACGTTTGCTAGTCAACAAACTAAAAGTTATACAGCATAGAAAGGCAGGAGCACAACGGAAAAAAGGGCCAGTCCATGTGTACACAGGCTCCAAGGCATCCGTCACACACACCGGGCACACAGGCAGTACTGGAAGGAGGTGGCCCGCACAGCAATGTCTGGAGAGCTGGGCCTCATCCTGAAGCAGCTGCGTATGGGCGCTTTGTTCTAACAGTTCTCTTAACTTAAAAAATATAGTTACTAGAAACACAGTGACTACACCTGTAATCCCAGCACAAAGGAGGCCAGGGCAGAAAAATTCCTGTGATGAGAGGCCAGCCTGAGTTACAGTGAGAATGGCTCAGAAAGTACCAGACTGATAGGCTGAGCGTGACAGCTGTAGAGGGACTTGCTTCACCAGATGACAAAAATACTCGCTGTCCTTTTTTAGTCATGCTCTCCATGGTAGAGGTGAGGGAGAAGCCAGCTCCATCAGGGTGACTGTGGCAGGCAGGGCCCCGGGCCTGGGGGCAGACAGACCCTCCCTGGTGTCTCAGCCCTCACGGCACTCAGGAAAGTCACCTTGCTGCTGGGCACCCACACAGGCCACCCTGGGGTGGTCACGGAGTGTCCCTGGGACAGACATGCCAGGCCTGCCCAGGATCACTGAGCAGGAGTAGGGTGCAGGTGCACTCATGCCCTTCCTCCTGCGAGTCCCCAGGGACAGCGGGTCTCAGCAGTGTCCATTACCTCAGAGTGAGCCTCATGGAACATGGCCATCGATCAGTAGCCAGCACGCACTCGCATGCCAAGGCTGGGTGACGGTCCCGCACGCGGTGTGCACAGGTTCTGGGTGCTCTGTTGTCACTCTAAACCAACTACCAGGTGCCGTACTGGGTGCAAGTGTGCTGTGTTGGTCTGTTCAATAAAAGCATGTCAGAAACTGCGGCTGTGGTCCTAGGACTATTTATTTCCGACAGTGTCACTGTTTGGCTTTTGTGCTACTGGGGATTGAACCTAGGTCTTTTTTTTTGGAGACAGGATCTCACTAAGTCACCCAGGTGGTGCTGGAGTGCAGGCCTGTGCTGCTCAGGCCCGTTCATGATTCCATTTTTATTCCATCAACCCACAAGTCACGTCATGTGTATGGCCCAGAAGAGGACAGAGGGCCCCCGGGCACATGGGCCAGGCACACTTAGGGTGCCCTGCCCAGGTGTGGACACGCTTCTGGCTTTCAAGTGACTTCGGATAAAGTGCTTGAAAACTGCTGCTGAGTCTTGCTACTGAGAACCCAAGACTGTTTCTCCTCTGGGCAGGCTGGGGAGAGTGGGCATTGCTGACACCCACACCCCAGCACACAGGGAGCAAACCCCATTCTCCCACGAACCCTGGCAGGCAGCAGGGGCTAGCACTCAGCCTCCCAGTCTTTTGGTAGCACTCGCTGAATCTGTCAAATGTCACATCTGTCCAGTGTATGCACTTCTGGGTTTATTTTTATTTTATTTTTTGAGACAGGGTCTCACTATGTAGTTCATGCTGGTCCTGAAACTATGTAGCCCAGGCTGGTCAACTCGCAGTGATCCTCTTGCCTCAGGCTCCCAAAAACTGGGATCACAGGCATGTGCTACCACACCCAGCTTTTGGTGGGTTTGTATACAGAATTAAATACTCATTTATTTTAAAAACCGTGATAAAATCAGACAGTCCTTTCTCCCCAGCAAATCTTTTGTTGAAAAAGCGGGGGGGGGGGGGAACCCATTAATACACAAATTTCAGCAACATCAGAAATCCCTGACCAGGTCAGGGGCTCAGTGTGTGCTCCAGGTGTCACTCCGCCCAGGTGAATTCATGTTATCCATGCAGCGAGTCCCCGAGAGGCCACAGCTCTGGTGCAGGCTCAGCAAGATCTTTTTTTGGTTTTTTAGGCAGGCTTTCACTATGTGGTCCAAGCCGGCCCTGGAACTGTGTAGCCCAGGCTGGCCTCAAACTCTTACTGATCCTCATGCCTCAGCCTCCCCAGTGCTGGCCACGCGAAGAGCAGTCCTCCCGAGAGCAGAGGTGCTCTAACTGGTGAAGTCTGGTTCTAAGGAGAGATCCAGGAGCAGGGTGTCACCTTGCTTCTCCTGCAATAGGGAACCACTGTGCTTGCAGGCAACATCAGCATAACTGTCCCCCAGCCCAGGCATGGCTGCGCCTAGCTTTCACAAGGTCTTTTTGTAAACCACATCTGTCCCAGTGCTGGTGACAGGAACCAGGGCCTTCCTTGGGCTGGGCAAGCTTCTGACACAGTCTGGCCCAGCTGGCCTCAGGCTCCTTATCCTCCTGCTTCAGCCTCCCAAGTAGCAGGTACAACAGGTGTGCACGAGTACACCTACCACCTCTCCCTACTTTGTACCAGTTGTCTTTCACCTAGAAGCCAAGACGTGACTAGAGCGCCTGCAGCACCTCCAGAAACACCAGGCCTCTGCTGGCCACGCGAAGAGCAGTCCTCCCAAGAGCAGAGGCGCTCTAACTGGTGAAGTCTGGTTCTAAGGAGAGACCCAGGAGCGGGGTGTCACCTTGCTTCTCCTGCAATAGGGAACCACCGTGCTTGCAGGCAAGGTCAGCAGAACTGTCCCCCAGCCCAGGAACAGAGATGTGGCCCCTTTCCAACACCAAAAAAGCTGGAGGCTTCATGGGCTGTGCCACACAGGATCCTAGTTTTCTTGATGTGATTCTGCTGAATCCAAACTTCTTTTTGTTCCTTGAGATGGGGTCTGTTGAGGGTGCCTAGATTGCCCGGCCTCAGCCTCCATAACAGTTGCAGGTGTGGCCTCAGTGTGGCCTTGCTCCAGACTCAGTCCTGAGTGAAGGGTCTGACTTGGCAAACCGTGTCCTGCTTGGTGTCCCTGCCCTGGATCTAACAGGACAGGACTGGATCCTGACGGAGAAACAGCACAGACATAGGCGGAGGCAGGTGTGGCTCTGTGGGTGACAGTTCCCGGGGATACTGCTCTAGATTCGATTGTCATCAGCTGTGTAGCCACTGAGAAGCAACTTCCAAGGCCAGCTGCTTTCTGCTTGTCCCCAAGGGTGGCACCAGGCAGCCTCGTGGGAACAACGAAGTGGTTTCCAACTGAGCCGGGGCCGCCCTCCTGTGCTGAGCACTGCTAGGAGCGCACTCCCATGACCCGGCTGCCAGCCTGCAGGTCCTCACCAGAGGCGGCAGCACCAGGCTTGGGCTGGGAGGGCCCTGGATCCCCAGAGCCCCTTGGCTGCCTGGGCCCACCCTGCTCAGGTAGATGAGAAGGCAAGACAGCCCTCCTGCCCCCTTCCCCACCCCAACTTGGCCACTCCATGCAAACCTCTGTCAGCCTGCTGCCCCTGTGGCCCATGGTCACCATCCGGCTCCACCCCACAGCTTGCCCTCTGCTCCTGGGTTCCTCCTGGCCACCTCTTGGCCACTCCAGGCGAGCAGCACCCATATCGCCAGCCGCTTCCACTGTGCTGAGGAGCTGGGACAGCACAGGAAGGGACTTCGCCTGGCAGGAACCCCATCCTGCCCCCAGTGGACAGCAGGGTCTCCTTGGGCAGGCCACACCCTATCCCTTGACCACCGGCCATCACTGGTGTCAGGAGCGTCTGATACCGCTGGGGTGTGGGCCTGGCCACCCTGTGCCCCAGGCACTACACGTCATAGCGGTTCAAGGTGTACGAGCTGGGCTGCCCAGGCCGGCTGTACTGAAAGTGATCCGTGAGGATGCCACCGCCGCCACTGCGGCCATACTGGAGGTCCCCATGGGCGGGGAAGAGCACGCCGTTGTGGGGCCGCTCCCGGCCGCCCAGGTCTGCTGCAGACACAGGCAGCAGGCGCTTCCTGGCCTGCTGGTTCGCATCGTACTTGGTCTGCGGGGAAAAGAGCAAGGCCAGAGTCAAGCATGTCTTCCAGGAAACCCAAATCAGCCAGCAGGCCTTCCTGGGCACCGCGGCGCGTGCCTACCACCCCAGCTACCCGGGAAGCTGCACGGGAGTGTTTAGTAATAAAAAGGCTCAGGGGTGGAGGTCGGAGCTGAGTGCCTGACCGGCATGCAAAAGGCTCCAACTCCAGCTGGCACTGCAAGCAAGACACCAGCCAGTCAGCCACAGAGCTCTGAGGCCCTGAGAGCAGGGCTTGGGCGTGGCAGGGGGTGGCTAGTGGGACACAAGGGAGGGCTCGGCAGGTGGGGCGCGGTCGAGCTATGCCCAGGCCCAGCCCGCTCACCTTGTTGTACAGGAAGACCCCAAGGATGGCGGTCAGCATGCCCAGCACGTTGGTGCTGGTGACCGGGTTGCGCAGCATGAGCAGGGACACAGCGATGACCGTGATCCGCTTGGTGGCGCTGGCAACTGAGTAGCTGAGCGGGCTGACCAGGCTGAGGATGCTGAAGGCGATGACATTCTGGGCCAAGTTGCAAAAGCCACTGACCGCCAGCAGCAGAAGCGTCCAGGGCCACTGGGACACGTGGGTCTGCGGACACAGGGAAGGACAGCGCAGGCGGCTGCTGGCTGGCTGGCGCGGCCACGCCCTGCCCCTATCCCGTCAGTGTCACTACGCAGACAATTATGGGGTCGCACGGGAGCCCCCCGTCACCCCATAGCCACCCACAAGGGCTTTGCTGACCCCAGCACTCTGGCAGCCTGAGGCAGAAAGACCTCAAGTTCAAGTTCCAGCCCATGCTGGGCAACTTATCAAGATTCCATTCCGAGGTGAAAAGTAAAAGGGGCCGGAGATGGAGCTCAGTGCGAAGGGCCTGGGTTCGATTCCTCCACATCCCCGTACCACATGTAAGGAAAAACTAAGCAGAAACCATTACGTGGCTCCCAGATGGGTAGCAGCAAGCCCTGCGTGTGGTCATGCGATACCAGGGGCCTGGCATCTGTGCCTGCAACCCTCAGGACACCACTGGCACAGCCATTGCTTACTCTCTCTCTGTAGCTATGGCTGCGAAGGCAGATGCCCAGAGATAGGTGTGACCCCAGCCTCCTCCTGTCCCTGGACAGTGGCCCTAGCCAGGCATAGAACCCGGTGCCACAATACTGCCACCCCTGCTACTGCCAGGGTCCCAACACAGGCACAAGGTGGGATCCTCAGGGCAGAGGCCTGCTGCACCCACCCACACCACTGCACCAGGATCTTGCCTTCCATGGGCTCAAGCTCACCAGGGTGGAAGGTCCCTGCTACATGGGTCCCCATGCTGGGGTCCCAGGCACAGCGGTACCTTGAAGGCTCACCCCAGCCTGTGGTGACATGGCGTGTGTGTGGGGGTCTTTAAGAGGAGGTCTGAACAAAGGAAGTGAGGTTGCTGGGACTGGAGTGTGCCCCCCTACTGGGGCCCAGCCCCTTCCTCTCCCCTGTAGCTGTGAGCACAGCAGCTTCCTTACAGTGCCCTACTGGGATGCACTGTGTTGCCACAGCGCCCGGATGGCCAGGCCCGACGACCGAGGCTCAAGTGAACATTTCAGGTATTCTGTCACAGTGACCACACGCTCTCTGGCAGCATGGGTCCGCTTTCCCACTGTTGGCACAAATGCCCCAACAGATGGGTACAGTCCACAGCTGGCTCCTTGCTGTGGCTGGGAGGTGATGCACAGCACAGACGTGAGGGAGCACAGCAAGCAGGCAGAGGCCCATACCAGGCCCAGCTGGCACCCCAGCCCACTAGGAGGGGTCACCAGTGGGCATCATGTCCTCGGTGGCCCTGTCAGCAGGAAGCTCCTGTACTTCCAGCATCTGGCTGGGCCTGCCTTCTATAGACATTCCTGCTGCCGCCAGCCTCTGGGTTCAGGAGCCCTCGCCACAGCCTGTGCTTCTGAGCTGAGTTGCTGGAGCCTCCTTTCTTTATAACACTAGCCTGTATCAGGTATCTTGTCCTAGTGACGACAGATACCGCAGATGTCAACATTCCAGCATGCACCCTCACACCCACTGCCAGGCGCGCTCACCAGGTCACTGCTGACGAGGAACGCCGAGAGGTCCACCAGCACCCATGTGGGGATCATGAAGAAGACAGCGTGGCACCCCAGGATGTTGAGCAGCCGGAGATGGTGGATGCGTGAGTCCCTCAGAACCTGCACACAGAAGGCCTTGTCAAAGCCCAAAACAAAACGGCCAGCCAGAAAGCCCTGGTGTCTGGCCACCACCCAGGGATGTCCAACCCGAACACCAAAGTACTCAGCCCATCTTGAAAGGACAGATAGCACGTGTCCAAAACAGGCACAGTGGCGTGGTGTGCCATGCCAGCCCCGCCCCTGGGGTGCACTGAGACCGTGAGACAGCTGGTGGTGTGCGCATGTAATCCCAGCACGTGGGAGGCTGAAAACAGGAGGATAACTTCGAGTCCAGTTTGTGTAGTGAGACCCTGTAGACCTTGTACTAAATATATTAAAATAATAAAAACTAAAACCAAAAAAACCAAGCACAGTGTCCCATGGGTTAAAGGAGGAAAAAAGCCCAGTACCAGTGCTGGCAAAGACGTGGCCAAGAAGCTGCGAGAGCCCCGGAGTGAATGCGACGTGGCGCGGTGTTTCTGGCTACAGCCAGGCATGGGGGAAAGCCAGTTCCTGCACACGCCTGCTGGCCCGTTACAGGGAATAGCCCAAGGTCAGAAAGCACTCTGCATAAAGGGGGCCGTGGGACAGGGCCTGCACGAACTGTCGCACCTGAGTGGCGCGGCAGCTACAGGGGTCCGGGAAAGAAACACCGTTAGCTATGCGGCAGAACGGCACTCTGACTGGCAATCGCCAGCGCAGCAACTTGAAAAGCGTCTGCACTACTGCGTGTCCAGGGCCTGCCAGGAGAAACCGACATGGTCACTGTTGCTTTCAGCCGGGGTGCAGCCGAGGAGCCCAGCACTCACCTCGTGGGTGTCGGCCCTGGGCTCCGTGCCCAGCACCAGAAAATCCCCACACTAAAGCCCAAGCCAGAACAAGAATAAAACCCTAAAGTCGGGCCGACTACGCTGTGATGTGAGCTCACACCAGGGTAGCTGGGGCCCTGGGACCAGGCCTCTGCAATCTATCCCCTGCTGCTGCCATGGTGCCCAGCACACAATAAGCTCAAGGACCTGGGTTCAATTCCTGGTACTGCAAACAGTGCCAGCCCTGGAACCCCAGGTACGCCATGCCAGCCAATGAAACCGGACATAGCAGCACATGCCTGTAATCCCAGCACTGGGGAGCCTGAGACAGGAAGATCACTATGAGTCTGAGCTGTGTAGTGAGACTCTGTACCAAATACATACATATGTACACACATACATAAATGATTTTTAAAAAGCCACAAAGCAAACAGAAAAGGAGCCAAAAGCAGGCAACAAAGGACCGAAGCTCCCCACCAGGGCACATCCCCAAAGCTGGCCTGCCGCACCTTCTTAGAGAAGATGTTCTGAAGCGAGAAGCACAGTGTGGCTGCCAGGGCGCTGAGCAGCCCCCACACATCGAAGGACAGCTCAGTGACGGTGGCCAGCAGCACGCCGCTGATGATGGGCACGAGTGACAGGTACACCTGGGAGGAGAAGAGCTGGGTAAGATGGCAGCTGGGGTCTTGCTGCTCTCCCTGGGTCCAGGGGAATCCAGCACTTGGGACATGACCCCAAGTCCCCCCTCCCCAGGTGTCCAAGAGCCCACCCCAACCAAGTCCCCACCCAGCTCAACCTCCAGGAGGGCCCCACTGGTAGCTGTGGCCCTCCCACTTTAGGCAACAGTGTTGGTCACCCCATTCCCTGTGGGCCACCTGTCCCACCTTCTTTGGCCCTGGAGTCCCTGAGGTGCATGTGCCACCCACTGTGCCACCCATAAGGTGCTCTGGTCTCCACTAGAGCAGGCTCAGCTTCAGAGCAGGTCTCATCTGCTGCCCTGTCCAGCACACTGTGGGCATTCAGTAACTGCCAGCACAGGGGGCAGGGATGGGTGGGGCAGGATCCCAGAATCCAGTGCTAAACAACTCCCAGCTTCCCTGTCAGAGTTCTTCAGTACTAGTTCACCCAGTTGGTACAAGGAGCCATCTTTATTTTGTGGACCTTGGAACAGAATGGAACCTAGGGCTTCCTCCACACTGAGCTATCTCCCCAGCTGAGTGTCTGGAAAGAGGCCTGTGGTTGCTAAGCCATGCAGGCTGCCTCTGCTTGAGTGCTGGGCAGAGCAGTCTTGTGACAAGGTGGAGATTTAGCAAGTCATGAGGTCCAGGTAGGGTGGGTCACTCACTGCACACAGAGGGGCTCCTGGTGTGGCCCTCAGGTGTGCGACGCCTGCACTTTCTTCCCGAGCTCCGGAATGAGGATGACCTGCCTTACCCACCTTGTAGTATGGGTTCCCGTGAAGCTACCCCCTCTCCCTATCACTCAGCTACCTGCTCAGGAGGGCCACTGTTGACTCTGCTCACCGTGTGAGGCTCTAGGTACAATGTTCCAGACAGCATGGAAACCTGATAAACATGATGTGATATCAGGTGACACAAGCGCACCTCCTGGTGACTCTGGCCCCCAGGGGGTCAGGTACACCTGACGTCACCCTGAGGCCAGCTGCAGGGTACACGCAGATCTTGCCAGGTAGACAGGCTACAACAGAACCCAGCCAGAGGTAGCCCAATTTATATAAGCTGATCCAGGGCTCTGAACCTGTGTTACAGAAAACAGTATGCCAGAAACCAGGGGCTTGAAAAGTGCAGTGTCCAGCAAGAGATGGGGAAATCTAGTGGGACAGCTGGAATCCTGTTTTCCACTGAAGGAGACAGCGAGGCTGGGCCTGGAGAAAGTCACAGCCTCATGCACCCCAAGGCAGGAAGCACTCTATCTGGCATCCTGACAGTCACAATCCCAGTGGGGCTCACTACTCAAACTGCAGGACTCTCTGCCCGCAGATTCCTGTGCAGCTGGAAGTCCCCTTTCCTGACCACTGGGAGGGAAACCAGCTGGGTTTGGGATCCATCCCTGACCCCACTGGAGGGACCCTGCAGATATGTGCTCGCCACCACCTACTGGTAGCCCCAGGCAGGGCAAGGAATCAGGAGGGCATCAGCCCTGAAGTGGCAGCGTTCCTGCGGCCACATCACACAGACCACCACCCCAACGCGGCCTACAGGGCGAGCCCAGGCAGCAGCAGGAAGACGAGGGCTGAGGGCTGTGCCAGGCCTCTTCAACTTCCTCATCTGACAGGAAGCCAGGCAGCGGCAGGCAAGGAGTGGACACGTCACCCGCTGAGGACTGCGGGGACTGCCCTTTCCCGGGGTCTCCTGCCCGGCTTACCTTGGTGCTCTGCTTCTCCTTCATGATGATCCGGGACAGGAGGACCACCCAGATGGGCATGGTGGCCTTGACTGCGGACAGAGGGCGGCACTCAGGCTCAGCGTCTCCGGCCGGCGGGCGGGCGCGCTGCTCCGCGCACCCCGCAGCCCCAGGCGCCGCCCCCGCCCCCCGGGGCAGCGGTACCCACCGGTGTGCGCGTAGGACACGGGCACCTTCCAGATGCTGACGTGCGCCGACACGGACGCGAAGTACTTGCCGAAGGCGAGCGGCAGCACGTAGCGCGGATAGAAGCGCGGCGGCAGCAGCGGGCCGGGTGGCGGGTGCGGGCCGGCCGCGGGCCCCGACACAGGCGGCGCGGGCGGC